TTTTGCAAGATATCGATATCTATTGATCGGGTTAAGTTACTCACTGTTGACTCCGACAATTTTTTTTTTCCAGGTCTGTATCTACGACACTAAGACGTTGAAGGTTGTGAACCAGTTCCGTTCGATCTCTACGGCCACTAACGCAGCCATAAAGTCAATTGAATTCTCGAGACGTGGAGAGTAGGTTGCTACACCGACAGTCTCCCTCTATCAGAAAATCTCTCCTGCTTACATTTTGATTTCGTCTCTTAGTTTTTTCCTTCTGAACTGTGCTGACCGTTTCATTCGCATTTACAACTGCTCAGATGCGATGGAGTCTTCTGAACCTGAGCCCCTGCAAAAACTCCGCGATCTCGTTACTGGGTGAGCCTCCTAGTACCTTAGTAACTTCGTCGCTGACTTTTTCTCTACTCCTCACAAGATTGTCATGTGTCACCATATTCATCATTTTCCTTGTTAGGAGTCATTGGCGCAAGTGCTGCTTCTCTGGAGATGGAGAATTTGTCTGCGCGGGCTCAATGAAACAGCACTCTATCTACATTTGGGAACGGGCCAGTGGAACCCTCTTCAAGATTCTTCATGGTCAAAAGGGGGAGACGTTGCTAGACGTGGTCTGGCATCCCTTGCGTCCGATTGTCGTCTCTGTCTCCAACTCCATTACTAAGGAACAGATCTCGATTTGGGCGCAGACGCAAGTGGTGAATGAAATTGCATTGCCAACGTTCTCACTTGACTTACTCTTAATTTGTCGGATTCCATTATTTTCCTCATTTGCCGTGGTAGTTATGTCCTCGTTGGTTGTTTAAGACTTCTCTTATAGTCTCTTCCTCACTTTCCTAATGCTCAGCATCAGGGGTTTATAGCATAAATAGTCTCCCACAGCAGATGCTCAAGCTCACCTGAATAGCTCCAATTCTGTTCCAGTGTTGAGATTTTAAGGACACTTTTGAGGTGCTCTGCACACCTAGGTTCTGCAGTGAAGTTTTCCCATGTAACAATTGGATTAAGTATTTTTTACGATTA